ATAATATTATCCCTATCCAAAAGCCAAGCTTCAAACGGGAATTTACTGACCACTTCTTCCCATCAATCTTTCCTGAACCACTACAGCGACTATAAGAGCCATACCATATGTTCATACATTGTATCATACATACTTGCCATTTTTGAAAAAATAATATTATCCCTATCCAAAATATCTATTTTTCGAATATTTTTACAAAAGTGGCGTTTAGCAAAAGGATTTTGAAACTGATATCATACATAATAACTATTTTTGTAGCGGTTCGCACGTGTAATCGTTTATGTGAAGTTGCATACACGTACTTGTACATACACGCATACACGTACTTGTACATACACGCATACACGTACTTGTACATACACGCATACACGTACTTGTACATACACCCATACACGTACTTGTACATACACACCATTGTAATATCGATAGATATTTAGGGAAAGTGAGTAAAAACTATGGCTTGCGCTGCAGATTATTGCAAAGAGCTGTGCATAGAAAATACACCTCAGCACCGCTTTCCAAGGAAAGATTGGTTTCAGGCGATCAGACGACTCACAATGAGACCAACAGTGGTAGACTTTTAGAAAAGGTACAACAAAACCAGTCTGCGTGTGTAGCAGTCACTTCAAAAAAGAATTTATAAAACGGAATAGGATATTAACAACACTCACAAGCGATGCTGTTCCGATGAAAGAGCACCAGTGGGAGTTGTATCTTGCGAGGAAAGCGAGACTAAGCGGCGAAGGTTGGATGTGCTAGACAAGAGACGCGGTTGAAAAGAGATAGTTTGAATTATAGTGGCTTCCAAACACTACGACGTAGTTTTAGGAACGATGGAACAGAAAAACTTGACAATCTTACAAACAGAGAGAGTGAATACCATCTTGGAGCTCTTCATCGAGAATTAGAATAGGCTGTGGAAAATATCATCAAACAGAAGACACAGAGTGCGATGGCAGATGCGTAATGAAAAAAACGGGAAACAGAATTAGTATTTTTAGCACTTGCAAAGGATGGTCAATTTACCAATAAGCAAAACAATGAACCAAAACTTATTGGTCGCACAGTATACACGTAGAACTTGCAAATTGCAGGTAAATATGATTGTGTATTATTACAACTTATTACATTCAACTGAGAAATAACATTATCATCTGCTGTTTATATTTTAATACTTGCACACTACACAGGGCTAAAATGTATTTATGCTCACCCAGGAGGTACGAATGGTTAACCTCTACTTCTTTTGTCTGGCAGCGGAAATTCGCTTCTACCTTACTGATATTATCTCCCCCATAGTTAGTGCACGTTAGTTTATTTTATTGCTCAATAGCAAGCAAATAGTTGTTCTATACTTTATGATATATTGGCTACAAAAATAATATTCAGTCGTACAGAATAAACTCGCAACATCATCTATGTAGTCAAAACTGTGTTGCGCTTAGTCAAAAGTGTTAAGTCTGAAATAAGTGAACTCAGTCAGAAGTGCCGTTGTGAACGGCGCGTCTGCTGTATTTATTAATCATGTTCCTATGTGGGACGAGATATTCTCTAACAACGGCAGATTGTGAAAATCTCGGTATTTAAGATCTTAGTTACTAAACAATGATGACATCCGATGAGTTATCATTCCCTCTCACTAAATTATCTATTCCATTATCTAATCCGGTCCTCGGGTCCGTTCCTCAATTAAATCCTCTTAGGCCCGAGCCTCTGGTTCGGTCCTAAATAATTTCCTTAGGTCCGGTCCTCTGGTCCGGTCCTACATCCCCGTCTACGGCACTTTGTCCACAGCCCCGCCAAGTTGAGTATTGGTATTTTTCAATGACTATTTATGTCACAATTCTGTGATAATTTGTAAATAAAAATATAAAGGTAATATCCTATACGGACCGCGGGGTTATTGCATCGTCATAATCACTAATTGTCAATTATCACATGTGTCGTAAATAGTCGCTGCTAAGATATCACTCAGTCAGCTGTTTTTATGATTATTAAAATCTTTGAAAAAAAACAAAACAAAACAATATAGTTGTAAATTCTATTATTGTCGGTTTTTACCTCATATGGATGTATCTTATTAAAAATAGCATTGTTATTTTACGACACCCGTTTAAAATTGATGTAAATTTGCTGTCGCCAATTCATATAATTCGTTATTATTTATAATGACCTGTGCGTGTCGTTCGAGCTATATTATATTTCAAATATAGACCCTAATTTGGCACCTGTCGCATGTTTGACTACGAGTGTCCTTTGTTTGATTAACGTTCAACGTTTACCGGTTTTATAAACGTGTATTCAAACCACTTTTCTATCTAAATTTTATATCTATTATTCTATGGAAAAGTACTACGAAATGTGCCCCTAGCGCTGTACATACTTAGTGAACATATGTGTGCACCTACTGTTTATATATGTCTCATAAATCTTAGTTCAGTATAATGGCGATGTATGTGAGTGTGGATTGTGCTGAATGATGTGGATGGCTTGTGCTTAGGGCGGGCTGTACCGTCCTTTATTCTGTGCGAATGACCTCCCGTGGGCTTTACGTGTAAGTATTTTAGAACCACAAGTGTCCATTTGATTCTTCAATTTCCCTTCAATTTAATGGATCATGGTGCCTTTGAGTTCATTGTTATATACGATCTTGTCTATAGTTACAACTTTTATGTTAAGACAACTCTAGGTCTATGCTTTGTAGGTGT